CAGCAGCAACAGCCTGGTTGATCAGGCTCTGATCCACCAGGAGGCCTGGTCACAGACCGGGCCGCGGGGCATGACCCCCGGAACTCACTCCAGGTAAACTCCAGGTATACTTGACATCTTTGTAAACCAATGCGCTTGAAAAGGTTAATTGTTCTTGCATGTCTGTCGTAAATCTTAGGTCCCTCATTGAAAATATCTTCATCGTATCTTTAATGCACAGTACACTCTCCCTGAAATGAAACACAAGTTGTGATAAGAAAGGTACACAGTGACCTGAAACTGAAATAAAGTAAGGCCGAGGAAGGAATTTAAGGTAGGTTACACTTGGTGCCTCTGACGGAATGTAATACAGTATTAGCTCTGATTCCTTCCTATGAAGTGCTTCCACTGCCACACTCACACCATAAGTCTATATTAACTTGTCTAGAGTGTCCCTCGTGACAAGTAGAAGACCTTTTAGTACTAAGTGCTGCGTAGTTCCCTGAATTCCCTCATCACTTTCTTGTGGAACCCACAGAAGTCTGCAACCATGTCCGCTGCCTCTTTCTGCCTAGCTGACAGGACCAGCCTGGCTTTCCATGTGTTGAGTTTTTCACATAAAGGCTCCTGTAGCTTGACCAGTAAGTACATGTGTGGAATCTTAGCCCTGTGCCGTAAGAGAGTCATCGTGTGTTCTCCGGAGAACATCCCCTTTTCTCTTTAAGTAAGTTTATTCAGGCATACACAAATACAGTTACATAGAATTATCATATATAGCAGCATATATGTAAAGTACCTGGGATAACCCAAAAAGTCAGAGTGACTTATTTCCATTGGGGTCCTTTACTCGCAGGTTCACATTGTAGAAGAATTCCGTCACCAGTTTTTTTGTCCCTTTCTACCGCTTTCTTAAGGGCCTTTTCTATTTCCACCACCTTTCATAGAATTCCGCCTCTTTCAGTTGCCATGAGCCCACTCTGCATTATTTGTCACTGCTCCATACTGCTATGGAGGACACCTTATCTCATCTGCATTGTTGATAACTAGATCCATCCTCTTTCTTAGTGTCCTGAGGCTTGTTTCCACTTACCTCTAAGTAGTCTGTCACTCATTTCCTTTAGTTCTCGCCGTAGACCAGAAAGCTGTGCATAGGAATTTGGTTTTCATGACTTTGGATTTTAGGTATCACACCCTATGACAAGTGGGTCCTAAAACTCTCAGGCCAATGCGTTAACCACTCGTCCAGCTCCTCAGCTGGTGACCCTAGGAATATCCCTGATATGGCTCCTCAACATCTGTTAATTACAATTTTCAGTCGTTTAAAAATGTCAATGAGAGCTCCTTTCCGTCCGTCCTTCCGTGGAAGACCTGGGACCTTTCCCTCCGTTAGGTTGACTTCGATGTTCGCAAGGTCCTTCGTGTCCAGAGTCCATCTTTGCTTGTCCTCTTCCACTATCGTTGTTCCTGCCTCTGGGATGACAAAACTCCTTGTTCTTTGCCAGTCTCCTCCTCATTACTCTTTCAAAACTTGACCCAGTTTATCTCAAACAAGACGTTTGTCTGGAGCTGGAGTTCATTACCTTTGTAACTTGTTCAGCTATCAAAACTTTGAGGCCCAGTCCCTGGACCCACTATGTACCTCTGTAATCTTTAAACTACCACCCACACCATGGTTATGGGCTGCATAATAAACATATTAAACTAAACTCTGGAAGCTTTGCAGTCTTCCCCAGTCGATAGCTGGTGCAAATACCCGAGCTTTACAATAGGAATACGTCACTTTGATTTTTGTTTTGTTTTTTTTCCTAGGTTCTCTACACATATGCTATGTATGATAATCTAAGTAACTATTTGTGTATATCTGAATAAATTTGCACAGCACTGTGTCGTCCTTTGCAGATGACACCCAAATTTGCATGTCAGTGACCTCCATTGATGACACTGCAAGACTCCAGGTGGACATCAACCAAATCTTTAAATAGGCCGCAGAAAACATGAAGTTCAGTGAAGAGAAATTTCAATTACGACGATACGGAAAACTTGAGGACATTAAAACCGTATTGGAGTATAAAACAAATTCCAACTACACAATAAAGCGAAAAGCTAATGTGAAAGACCTGGGGGTGATAATGTCAGAGGATCTCCCCTTCAAGGATCACAACAATGTTCTATCATATCTGCTGAGAAAATGATAGTTAAGTTTAATATGTTTATTATGCACCCCATACCCATCTTGTGGGCGGTAGTCAAAAGGTTACAGAGGTACATAATGGGTCCAAGGACTGGACTCCAAAGTTTTGATAGCTGAGCAAGTTACAGAGGTAATGAACTCACAATTTACAAAGGTAATGGACTCACAATTTACAAAATGATAGGATATACCTCTGGTGTATATAAGATATGCACATTGTATATGCTCAGAGAGATATACGCCTTTTCGGTATATATACGATATGCAACTCTCTGTATATACACTTGTGTATATACAGATATATTCTCCTCGGTATATATACACCTCTGTATATACAAAATATATTCTCAATGTATACACTAAAATATACGCATGTATATATAGTATCGGTGTATATACACATGCACCTCGGGGAATATGTATATATATATATATATATATATATATATATATATATATATATATATATAATATATATATATATATATATATATATATATATATATATATATATATATATAAATATATAATTATATATATATATATATATATATATATATATATATATATCCCAAGGGGAGGGCCCATATGCAGGTGAAGGGGCTCTTGATCCAAGGAAATGAACCCCTCTTCTCCTTCCTTGGATCTAACCTGATAACCTCCCATCCCCCACCATGAACCCTATAAACCCTATGGGTTTAGCGCCTTTTCATGAGGAAAAAAATCCTTATCAAAAGAGGGCGTGGCCCTCAAGTCTGCCAGATAGTGTGGCAATCTATTTTAAGTAATCCCTCTCACTTTTAGGCCATTTTTTGAGCCAATTTAGCCACTATGGTTAAAATATATGATTTATTTTACAGTCTGGCCTTAGTGGTGCTGATTCCTGTATGTGTGGGGGATTTTTTTGACAAGATTTGTAAATCCTCTGAGAAATGTTGTTACAGCCAGTCTGGTCTATGTAATTATGATGCTGAAACATTATTCTGTAATGCCCAGGTAGGTCTATATTATCATCTTATTGGCCTTTGATCCAGGGAATTAGAGCTAACATCCCCAGGTACCTCTAGTTCCTCTGGAGCTGTGAAGAACCTTTACGGGTTTAGTGCTTGTCCATGAGAATAATAATAATAATTCATATTATACCTGCTTGAAATGATTTAAGGTAAAATATGTGAATAATGATGATGATAATAATCATTATATAAGTTTATCCCCTCAAGGAAGGTTCCTTGATGTTGGTGAGGGGCTCTTGATTTAGGGAATTGGATCTGTGCTCCAGTTCCCCGAATTAAGCCTGAATGCCTTCCACATCCCCCCCCAGGCGCTGTATAATCCTCCAGGTTTAGCGCTTCCTCCTTGATTATAATAATAATAATAATATATAAGTTTATATACAGTACCTAGTTTAATTTTCCAAGTGGAGTACCTATGGGGTCCGTGCTGGGTCCTAATTTTATTAAATTAAAACGGAATAAGGTTTTGTTCTTTATTTAGTAAAGTTATAGGGTTGTCAGAGGTAATTAAAGTACACTAATATTGTAATCATTCAACCTAGAGTAATTATATATTTTAAATAACCCTTATAGAATGTAAAACTAGTATTGTATTGTATGATGACTTAACCTAGGATATTCTTGTACTCGCCTATATATTGCTGCAGGGGTCGATTCACATGAGTTAATTTTATTTAGGTACAGGTGTGCATACTACAGTTACACAAATTACCATACATGGTAGTACGTATATGTTTCCGTGGGGAAGTGGAACAGAATTCTTCCTCCGTAAGCTATGCGTGTCGTAAGAGGCGGCTAAAATGCCGGGAGCAAGGGGCTAGTAACCCCTTCTGTATATATTACTAAATTTAAAAGGAGAAACTTTTGTTTGTCCTTTTGGGCCACCCCGCCTCGGTGGGATACGGCCGGTGTGTTGAAAGAAAATAGTACATGTGTATAATGCAACAATATGTGTATAATGTATTTCTAGCTTATTAAATATTGTACAATTATCTGTATAAAAAAAGGTATAATAATGTTCACTTGAAAACTTAGCCCTCAAGAGTGGGTCCTTGATGCTGGTGAAGGGCTCTTGATTCAAGGAATTTTACTTGCCCTTCTGTTCCTTGGACTGAACCTGATTACCTTCTGTTCCCCAGGCACCGTGTGACCCCTATGAATTTAGCGCTTCCCCCAAGTATATTAATTATAATAATATTGCAAATTTAACTAGACTTGCATTTATGCTCTGGACTGAGATCAGGTCCTGATCCACCCCTAGGCCTGGTCAAGGACCAGGCCTAAGGGAAATTGACCCCTGAAACCCTGCCCAGGTATGCACCCCTAAATGTAAGGTACCTTTGTACAAATACAGTGGACCCCCACTTAACGATCACCTCCCAATGGGACCAATTATGTAAGTGTATTTATGTAAGTGCATTTGTACGTGTATGTTTGGGGGTCTGAAATGGACTAATCTACTCCACAATATTCCTTATGGGAACAAATTCGGTCAGTACTGGCACCTGAACATACTTCTGGAATGAAAAAATATCGTTAACCGGGGGGTCCAATGTACTGTATCTTGCTGATATGAAGTTTCTTTATCTTTATCTAATAATAGTACTACTAATAATAATCATTCTTTTAATGTATCGCATTTATTTCCATGTCTGCTTTTCATTGGGCATGCCATAATTTATGCTTTCATAATGGATTAATTTGACTTTTGCTTACAGTCTTACAGAAGAGTTTTTTCAATAGTTTTATCTATTACACAACCATATACTATAACTTGCTATTTGGTCACCAAGTTTATCATTCACTGACTTTTTCAGCTAAGGAATACAGAAAATAAAAAAGGAACTTGCGAGATACGGAACATTAAGAGAGGTTAGTTATGTTAATTTTTGTGCCTTTAATTAGTTTTCCCAATAATGCTAATTAATCAGAACCCTATTTTATTTCATGTCACTGTATAAAATATACCATAATTAGAAAAGCCATAGGATGTGCAATATTTTGAACAGTTCAAAATACAGTGATGTAAATTAACCTATTTCCCTAATGGAAATATGTCACTTTGACTTATTTCAAAATCAAAATATGTATAGGTAATTTACACTATATAGTATAATATTTCTAAATCAAAATCAAGGTAATTTACACTATGTATGATAATTGTACATATGTGTACCTGTGCCTAAATAAAATTACTATTATCCTACATGTTTATAATGAAGAAAGATGAGACCAATAAACCTGCCAGAATGTGAAACAGGCTTCCATTTCTCTCATATGATATGATGATAGTACCTACCTGCTGCCTACCATCTTATACATTTATTGTTTGCTGTACCAAACAGTATATGTATATTACTACATGTTTTTTTCATTTCAGATTGTAGCCTAGATGAACCATCATTTCTGTCACGCCCACAAAATCTCTTGTTCAGTTTACGCATGTACTTCCATTTGGGCCTACTGGAGAACAGATCAGCATTCAACTTAACATTTCCATCACCTACGTGGAAGAGTGAGTTAATTTTTTAATGTTACTACAGTACAACAACAATAATAATAATAATATTAATAAATCATTGGTACCTTGAGTTACGAACTTAATTCGTTCCAGAAGGCTGTTCAAGTACCGATACCAAACAAATTTGTTCCCATAAGGAATAATGTAAATTAGATTAGTCCGTTTTAGACCCCCAGAAATACACTTACAAAAGCACTTACAAAAATACACTTACATAATTGTTCTAGTTGGGAGCTGTTTGAAACTGAAGGTACCACTGTAATTTTGTAATACAATAAGGTCACAGTGTACAGTGTTGATGCATTCCCAAAAATACATTGTTATATGAATGTTCAGTATTCAGAACCTATTTTCCTATAAGAAACAATGTAAAATGGATAAATGTGTTCCTCAGCTCTAATTTTCCATATCCGATTTCAGTTAGATTTTTCACACAAGAATTTTTACATATTAATCAATAAAATACCGTAATATACTGTAGATAAAATACTGAACAATAGGGTATTATGTATTGTTAATACTATTGAATTGGTGCTTTTTTCCTTATTTTGAATTTTGTAAGTCGTCCCCAGTGTTGGAAACACAAGTCAATTGTTGATAAGTAACTGATTTGTTTCAGGGTACCAATGTTGTAAGTACAAAATATTGTAACCCATAATGTCATAAGTTGTGGCCCTGGTGTAATGTGATAGTAGTGGTAGTAAATGTAATAGTAGTAGGAGTAATAATAATAATAATACAGCACCAAAATAATAATAATAAATATAACCAGACATTTCCTGTCGAGGTAGGGTGACCAAAAAAAAAATTATTAGCTACATGATTTGGAATCTTGGATGGGAATACCTTCTGTGAAGAACAAAAAAGGCACAATACTGTGACTGGAACATTACACAAATAACCCGCACATAGGACAGACAAGCTTACAACGATATTTTGTTCCGACTTGGATCATTTACAAGTTGGTCCAAGTCAGACTAAAATATCATCATAAGCTGCTCTCTCCTATGTGCGGGTTATTTGTGTATAATACCTTCTGTGATTATCGTTCTAGTATTAGTGTCAGTCTTATCTATATTTCAGGTCTCAAGTTTCGGTACCAGAAGCTACATCATTCTGATCACAAAATTTGCCGTCAATTCATTCTTGTTAATGAACTGGCTGATGACCTAATGTATGACTGTCTCATCTTTCAACATGATAAGGAATGGGATATAGGACTAACTGTAATCAGCAATGAAGGAAAAGGCGGAAAATATTATTTCAGTGCTCCAAGAAGTGAACAAATTGGTGAGGAAAAGTTGCGTATATTGTACAGTTTATTTTGTTGTAATGTTGATAATGCTTTATTTATTTTTTTTATTAACACATCGGGCATCACCCACCAAGGCAGGGTGGCCCGAAAAAGAAAAACTTTCGCCATCATTCACGCCATCACTGTCTTGCCAGAGGTGCACTTACACTACAGTTATAAAACTGCAATATTGATACCCTTCCTTCAGAGTGCCAACACTGTACTTCCCATCTCCAGGACTCAAGTCCTGATGTGCAAAAGAGTTGGGGAAACTGGTTAGCCAGACTTGGGTTCTGGAAATGGTTAGTAATTTTTTTTTTATTATACTGGCATCTCCCACCAAGGCAAGGTGACCTAAAAACGAAGAAACACTTTTGTCATCACTCACTCCATCACTGTCTTACTAGAGGGGGACTGATACGAAGTTCAAAACTGCAAATATCCCCACCTCCTCTTCAGAGTGCAAGCACTGTACTTCCCACCTCCAGGACTCAAGTCCTCTAAGGACCCCAATGGAAATAAGTCACTCTGTCTGACTTGTTTGGGTTATCCTAGGTTACCTACACATATGCTGCTATGTATGATAATCTGTATAACTGTATTGTGTATACCTGAATAAACTTACTTACTATTTCAGGACTCAAGTCTGGCTAACTGGTTTCCTTGAGTCCCTTAACAAATGTTACACTGCTCACACACTCACTCTCCAACAGAATGTCAATTCGTCAAGTCTTGTAGTTCATACAATGCATGGATGGTGAAGGCTTAATCCTCAGTCAAGAGTTAGAAACACTACCAAACTCTTTACCTAACTGCTGGTGGGAGGTAAAGTACATGTACTCTGAAGGATGAGTATAAATGTTGCAGTTGGATCAGTCATTTGAATATTGAAAGTGTTACCTTTTTTTGGGTGACCCTACATTAGTGAAAACAGCTGTGTTTAAAATAAATGCTATTCTGAAGATACCATTACATATGTGCAGTTTTTTGTAAGTCTAGAAGTGCATTTACATTGGAGTTCAGAGGACTTGTTAGGTACAGCAACCACACCTCTCCACCTCTACTGCATCAAGCTAGGGATGCTTGCACTGAATATTTTATCCTACAACTGAAGCACTCCTCAGCAGGTTGCTGAAGACAGCCTAAGTTGTATGCTGAAATCTAAGAGTATAGCCTCAGTTGTATGCTGAAATCTAAAAGTATGCCTTTGGTCGTATGCTGAAATCTAAGAATATTCTCTACATTTCTATTTTATTTTCTCCATGTGGCTTAGTTTTTACTGTTGATTAATGTTCATTTCACTTCTGCAGTTAAATACTCTAATTTTGTATAAATAGTTTTAAGTTTCTTTAACCATACAGTGCAAATTTACAGATCCTTGTAAAACCAAGGTTCAAGACTGGAAGACGTTCTTCTTTCTTCACATGGATCATGTGGGGAAGTCACCAGATCTGCCTGTAACTATGCAGTTATCACCATTCTCCAACGTGTCGTACAACATTTCACTCGTGGAGTGTGCGAATAGTACCGACCAAAGTTGCTCCAATCGGACCAGTCATTATGAAGTCTTCATTGGTGACCCTCAAACGTAAGATTGCATTTCATTTACAGTTAGGTTTTTTGTAGTTTGTTATGTTAAAAATATTATGGTAGTTAATATTTTAAATATATTCTTGAGTCATAAACATGTAAGATGGTATGTAAAACCTAGAGAAATTTTGACTTTGGTGTCAGAGATCTTCTGTATATGCAGATGATCTCTGATGCTGAAATATATACCTTTCCTGTTTCATTTTAAATTTTCTATCCAGGTAGTCTCTCACCATTCATCAACCACAGTTTATGACATATTAATCCCAGTACTGACAAATGTATTTAATTTACACATCTATTACAGTGTATCTTGTTTGTCTCTTTGTTTTGTGTTGAAATATATCTCAGATTTGCATTTTTAAGTTACACTTACAAGCACCTAAAGTTACACTTACAAGCACCTAAAGTTACACTTACAAGCACCTAAAGTTACACTTACAAGCACCTAAAGTTACACTTACAAGCACCTAAAGTTACACTTACAAGCACCTAAAGTTACACTTACAAGCACCTAAAGTTACACTTACAATCACCTAAAGTCAGTACCTGACCAGCCGGGCTGTGGCTCGTACGTTGGATTGCTTGCAGCCAGCAGTAACAGCCTGGTTGATCAGGCTCTGATCCACCATGAGGCCTGGTCACAGACCGGGCCGCGGGGGCGTTGACCCCCGGAACTCTCTCCAGGTAAACAAAGTTCAGGTACTTGAGGGCCCCATTTATACAGCAGATTAAGTTTCAGGCTTCTGCCATAACGCAAAAATCACTGTAAAGTGAAACAGCCTTTCTTTTTACTTTCAAATGCATACAAAAACCTGATAACATGTTTACACTATCAAATATTAAGTAAGCAATAGAGCTACACCTAAAAAATACTTTTACTTACCATAAAATGTTTTTGACCTTAGCTTATAGTGAGTGGTGAATATATTTATTGTAGGAAGTCTGAATGAATTAATGGGTATATAATTGAAAATCACTGCATTAGTAAAACACTGTAAAGCAAAGTGCTGAAAAAGTGGGGCCCTCCTGTTTCTTGCCTCTTGAAGACGAAAGATGCATTGATGCTATTGAAGGGCTCTTGATTCAAGGATTAGGTATTCTTTCCAAGTTACTGTATGACCCCTATGGGTTCAACACTTATCCATGAGTTTTAAAATAATTACCATGCCTCCCATCCTCAGGCTCTGCATGACCCCTACTAATTAATCACTTCCCCATGAAATTAATAATACTACTGTACTGGTAATAATTGGGTTATCTCATCTTTTAAGTTAGGTTTAAGTTTGCCCAAAATGCTTTGCATAACTAGGTAGTAGGTTGGTAGACAGCAACCACCCAGGGAAGTACTACCGTCCTGCCAGATGACTGTGAAACAAAAACCTGTAACTGTTTTGCATGATGGTAGGATTGCTGGTTTCTTTTTCTGTCTCATAAACACGCTAAGATAACAGGGATATCTTGCTACTCCTACTTACACTTTGGTCACACTTCACAGACACGCACATGCATATATATATATACATACATCTAGGTTTTTCTCCTTTTTCTAAATAGCTCTTGTTCTTTTTTATTTCTTCTATTGTCCATGGGGAAGTGGAAAAGAATATTTCCTCCGTAAGCCATGCGTGTCGTATGAGGCGACTAAAATGCCGGGAGCAATGGGCTAGTAACCCCTTCTCCTGTATACAATTACTAAAAAAGAGAAGAAGAAAAACTTTATAAAACTGGGTTGCTTAAATGTGCGTGGATGTAGTGCGGATGACAAGAAACAGATGATTGCTGATGTTATGAATGAAAAGAAGTTGGATGTCCTGGCCCTAAGCGAAACAAAGCTGAAGGGGGTAGGAGAGTTTCAGTGGGGGGAAATAAATGGGATTAAATCTGGAGTATCTGAGAGAGTTAGAGCAAAGGAAGGGGTAGCAGTAATGTTAAATGATCAGTTATGGAAGGAGAAAAGAGAATATGAATGTGTAAATTCAAGAATTATGTGGATTAAAGTAAAGGTTGGATGCGAGAAGTGGGTCATAATAAGCGTGTATGCACCTGGAGAAGAGAGGAATGCAGAGGAGAGAGAGAGATTTTGGGAGATGTTAAGTGAATGTATAGGAGCCTTTGAACCAAGTGAGAGAGTAATTGTGGTGGGGACTTGAATGCTAAAGTAGGAGAAACTTTTAGAGAGGGTGTGGTAGGTAAGTTTGGGGTGCCAGGTGTAAATGATAATGGGAGCCCTTTGATTGAACTTTGTATAGAAAGGGGTTTAGTTATAGGTAATACATATTTTAAGAAAAAGAGGATAAATAAGTATACATGATATGATGTAGGGCGAAATGACAGTAGTTTGTTGGATTATGTATTGGTAGATAAAAGACTGTTGAGTAGACTTCAGGATGTACATGTTTATAGAGGGGCCACAGATATATCAGATCACTTTCTAGTTGTAGCTACACTGAGAGTAAAAGGTAGATGGGATACAAGGAGAATAGAAGCATCAGGGAAGAGAGAGGTGAAGGTTTATAAAACTAAAAGAGGAGGCAGTTAGGGTAAGATATAAACAGCTATTGGAGGATAGATGGGCTAATGAGAGCATAGGCAATGGGGGTCGAAGAGGTATGGGGTAGGTTTAAAAATGTAGTGTTAGAGTGTTCAGCAGAAGTTTGTGGTTACAGGAAAGTGGGTGCAGGAGGGAAGAGGAGCGATTGGTGGAATGATGATGTAAAGAGAGTAGTAAGGGAGAAAAAGTTAGCATTATGAGAAGTTTTTACAAAGTAGAAGTGATGCAAGGAGGGAAGAGTATATGGAGAAAAGAGAGAAGTTAAGAGAGTGGTGAAGCAATGTAAAAAGAGAGCAAATGAGAGAGTGGGTGAGATGTTATCAACAAATTTTGTTGAAAATAAGAAAAAGTTTTGGAGTGAGATTAACAAGTTAAGAAAAGCCTAGAGAACAAATGGATTTGTCAGTTAAAAATAGGAGAGGAGAGTTATTAAATGGAGAGTTAGAGGTATTGGGAAGATGGAAGGAATATTTTGAGGAATTGTTAAATGTTGATGAAGATAGGGAAGCTGTGATTTCGTGTATAGGGCAAGGAGGAATAACATCTTGTAGGAGTGAGGAAGAGCCAGTTGTGAGTGTGGGGAAAGTTCGTGAGGCAGTAGGTAAAATGAAAGGGGGTAAGGCAGCCGGGATTGATGGGATAAAGATAGAAATGTTAAAAGCAGGTGGGGATATAGTTTTGGAGTGGTTGGTGCAATTATTTAAATAAATGTATGGAAGAGGGTAAGGTACCTAGGGATTGGCAGAGAGCATGCATAGTTCCTTTGTATAAAGGCAAAGGGGATAAAAGAGAGTGCAAAAATTATAGGGGGATAAGTCTGTTGAGTGTACCTGGTAAAGTGTATGGTAGAGTTATAATTGAAAGAATTAAGAGTAAGACGGAGAATAGGATAGCAGATGAACAAGGAGGCTTTAGGAAAGGTAGGGGGTGTGTGGACCAGGTGTTTACAGTGAAACATATAAGTGAACAGTATTTAGATAAGGCTAAAGAGGTCTTTGTGGCATTTATGGATTTGGAAAAGGCGTATGACAGGGTGGATAGGGGGGCAATGTGGCAGATGTTGCAAGTGTATGGTGTAGGAGGTAGGTTACTGAAAGCAGTGAAGAGTTTTTACGAGGATAGTGAGGCTCAAGTTAGAGTATGTAGGAAAGAGGGAAATTTTTTCCCAGTAAAAGTAGGCCTTAGACAAGGATGTGTGATGTCACCGTGGTTGTTTAATATATTTATAGATGGGGTTGTAAGAGAAGTAAATGCGAGGGTCTTGGCAAGAGGCGTGGAGTTAAAAGATAAAGAATCACACACAAAGTGGGAGTTGTCACAGCTGCTCTTTGCTGATGACACTGTGCTCTTGGGAGATTCTGAAGAGAAGTTGCAGAGATTGGTGGATGAATTTGGTAGGGTGTGCAAAAGAAGAAAATTAAAGGTGAATACAGGAAAGAGTAAGGTTATGAGGATAACAAAAAGATTAGGTGATGAAAGATTGAATATCAGATTGGAGGGAGAGAGTATGGAGGGGGTGAACGTATTCAGATATTTGGGAGTGGACGTGTCAGGGGATGGGTCTATGAAAGATGAGGTAAAACATAGAATTGATGAGGGAAAAAGAGTGAGGGGTGCACTTAGGAGTCTGTGGAGACAAAGAACTTTGTCCTTGGAGGCCAAAGAGGGGATGTATGAGAGTATAGTTTTACCAACGCTCTTATATGGGTGTGAAGCGTGGGTGATGAATGTTGCAGCGGGGAAAGAAGGCTGGAGGCAGTGGAGATGTCATGTCTGAGGGCAATGTGTGGTGTGAATATAAGCAGAGAATTCGTAGTTTGGAAGTTAGGAGGAGGTGCGGGATTACCAAAACTGTTGTCCAGAGGGCTGAGGAAGGGTTTGTTGAGGTGGTTCGGACATGTAGAGAGAATGGAGCGAAACAGAATGACTTCAAGAGTGTATCATCTGTAGTGGAAAGGAAGGCGGGGTAGGGTCGGCCTAGGAAGGGTTGGAGGAGGGGTTTAAAGGAGGTTTTGTGTGCGGGGCTTGGACTTCCAGCAGGCATGGCGTGAGCGTGTTTTGATAGGTAGTGAATGGAGACAAATGGTTTTTAATACTTGACGTGCTGTTGGAGTGTGAGCAAAGTAACATTTATGAAGGGATTCAGGGAAACCGGCAGGCCGGACTTGAGTCCTGGAGATGGGAAGTACAGTGCCTGCACTCTGAAGGAGGGGTGTTAATGTTGCAGTTTAAAAACTGTAGTGTAAAGCACCCTTCTGGCAAGACAGTGATGGAGTGAATGATGGTGAAAGTTTTTCTTTTTCGGGCCACCCTGCCTTGGTGGGAATCGGCCGGTGTGATAATAAAAAAAAATAACTAGGTGGCCTGTGGCCTGGTAGGCAATGCTCTCGCTTCACACACTGAATGTCCGTGGTTTGATCCCCGGTAAGGTTGGAAACATTGGGCATATTTTCTTACACCTGTTGTCCCTTTTCACCTAGCATGCAAGCAGGTACCTGGGTTTAAGTAGACTGGTGTGGGTCATATCCTGGGGGACAAGATTAAGGAGCCCAGTGGAAATAAGACAGTCCCTTGATGACACACTGACCTACTTGGGTTACCCTGGGTGGCTAACCCTCAGGGGTTCAAAATCTGAACAAACTCTTATCTTATCTTAACATGCTCTCAAGTGTCACCTATTTCTGTATGAACAAGGTACATCATCTTGTATTATTATTATAATCTTGGGGGAGCGCTAAACCTGTAGCCTGTGGGAGGGGGAGGATGGAAGGCATTCAGGCTTAATTCAGATAACCGGAGCACAGATCCAATTCCCTAGATCAAGAGCCTCTCACCAGCATCAAGGAACTTCCCTTGAGAGGACAGCATCTTGAAATAAACTTGTATTGTGCTGTATTTCATTTTTACATCCTGTATAACTGCTCCTTCACTGTAGATTCTATTCACTTGACTCAACTATTAATACTTTCTGCTCTATCATTCCTCGTTCCTCTGTCCGCATCATAAAGATACCATTGACAAATCTCTATCATACCTTGTACTGATATATGCATTTTTTTTTTTTTAACAAGTGACCCAAAAAGAAAGAAAATACCCAAAAAGAAAAACTTTCATCATCATTCAACACTTTCACCACACTCACACATAATCACTGTTTTTGCAGAAGTGCTCAGAAAACAACAGTTTAGAAGTATATACGTATAAAGATACACAACATATCTCTCCAAACTGCCAATACCCCGAACCCCTCCTTTAAAGTGCAGGCATTGTACTTCCCATTTCCAGGACTCAAGTCCGGCTATATAAAATAACCGGTTTCCCTGAATCCCTTCACTAAATATTACCCTGCTCACACTCCAACAGCTCGTCAGGTCCCAAATACCATTCGTCTCCATTCACTCCTATCTAACATGCTCATGCACGCTTGCTGGAAGTCCAAGCCCTTCTCCCACAAAACCTCCTTTACCTCCTCCTTCCAACCTTTTCGAGGATGACCCCTACCCCATCTTCCTTCCCCTACAGATTTATACGCTCTCCATGTCATTCTACTTTTATCCATTCTCTCTAAATGACCAAACCACCTCAACAGCCCCTCTTCAGCCCTTTGACTAATACTTTTATTAACCCCACACCTGCTAATTTCCGCACTCCGAATTTTCTGCATAATATTTACACCATATATGTGCATATATTCTAGGTAGTAGGTTGGGAGACAGCAACTGCCCAGGAAGGTACTACTGTCCTGCCAAGTGTGTGTAAAATGGAAGCCTGTAATTGTTTTACACGATGGTAGGATTGCTGGTGTCTTTTTATTCTGTCTCACACATGCAAGATTACAGGTACGTCTTGCTACTTCTACTTACACTTAGGTTACACTACACATACATGTACAAACATATATATACACACCCCCCTGGGTTTTCTTCTATTTTCTTTCTAGTTCTTGTTCTTGTTTATTTCCTCTTACCTCCATGGGGAAGTGGAACAGAATTCTTCCTCCATAAGCCATGCGTGTTGTAAGAGGCTGCTAAAATGCCGGGAGCAAGGGGCTAGTGACCTCTTCTCCTGTATATATTACTAAATGTAAAAGGAGAAACTTTCGTTTTTCCTTTTGGCCCACCCCGCCTCGGTGGGATACGGCCAGTGTGTTGAAAGAAAGAAAGAATATGCGTATATATATATGCATATATATATGATATATGATATATATAATATATATATGATATATGCATATCATTTACTAATTAAAAAACATTCACTTTATTTACTGTTTGTCTTGATATTGTAGGTCAGCAGATTGTGAAGGTGACCAGTGTACAGTATATTTAACGTTAAGGGACAACCCTGGCAGGTATGCTGTTACTGCACAAATTGTCTCACCAGAATGTCCTAACAATAGCTGCTTCATTTCTGTTTCTCCAACTTTCAGTAAGTTTGTCTTTAGTATTGTTTGAATTTTGTATTTAGTATATCTGAAGCTCTGTAATAACAATTGTAACCACTTTGTTTGCTATGTTTTAGTAGCATATTTGTACACACAATAAGTGGACATCGACAACCTCTTGACACCTACAAGAATAGTAGAGAAAAGTAGTAGACAAGAGCGAGTGAGAACTATGACTCACGAAATTGTAATGACACGATTGCAAACAAACCATACCCCGGCCGGGATTGAACCCGCGGTCAGAGAGTCTCAAAACTCCAGCCCGTCGCGTTAGCCACTAGACCAGCTAGCCACAATAAGATTCGTCCAACTAGGTATATTTCTACACCATAGGAAGGTTAGCACAGGCACCACTGTGACCACAAATGCAAGTTTTTACAGACGAATCTCCAGCTAGCGTGGCCGTGATGAACTCTAGCTCAAGTCCCTTCACTGCCGTCAACATGACTCATGAAATTGTAATGACACGATTGCAAACAAACCATACCCCTGGCTGGAGTTTTGAGACTCTCTGACCACGGGTTCAATCCCGGCCGGGGTATGGTTTGGTTAAGTGAGAACTATTCTAGTAGATGACAACTAATAGCTTTGTATTGTTACAGGTGTAGAGCCGAGCCAAGTGAGAATCTGGATAACCGTTGCATTTGGCTTTGCCCTGAGTTTTATACTTGCCTTTGCTCTCACGCTTCACTGTCACATTAAGCAGAATAGAAGTAAGTACATAACTTAAACTACTCTACTGTGGAGTTAGCTATTGCATATAGACTTTATATCCAAATATTTATACCTATCATATTTTTGGTCACCACCAAAACTATACTCACCACTCCCAGGGTAATAATAATAATAATCATAATTTTATTTTAGCATGATACATGTTTGTACAAAGGAGTACAGCCTCTCCTCACTTAACAACAGAGTCCCGTTCCTAAGACCACATCGTTAAACGAATTTGTTGCTAAGTGAGGAGCATATTATAATGATAGTGGATTTGTGTCATCCATCTTTGATGTTGTTTTAATGTCACCTTTGCATCATTTATAGCATTTCTGGTATATTTTTAAATGTTTATACAGTAGTGTACTCTATATTGATATAAAAAGAATAGAGGAAATCAGCTCTAATATACATTATTTAGGCATAAATACTGGTCAGAGAGCCTGTCGTAAGTGTGAAGCATTGGCATATGAGTACGTCGCTAAGTGAGGAGAGACTGTATAATAATTGGGCATACATGCTAAAAGCCCCTTTATATGCCGAGCATTTTGGGCAAACTTAAGACTAATTTAACATTAATAAGGTACAAGGAAAACGTTAGGGAATTAAAACCAGATTTATCTACAGAATATAGTTGTTTGCTCTTAATTTCACATTATATAAAAATAATGATAGAAAACTACTAACAAAGAACTGGAATAATTACTCTAATTGGTATGACCTCATCCAAGTTACAGTCAAAGATTTCCACGTGATACCATGTTTGTACTGAGATGGTTGACATTTGCTTGTGCATGCAGAGAGCCCAGTCTGTGTTATTCTTGTGTTAATATTTTCAACAGATCTGTTCCTTGGCTTGAAGGAGAAGCAGCCCACAGTACTGTTAATATATCTGGCTGAAAATCAACGCTGCTGGGATTTAGTCAATATGCTAGCAGTTTTCCTGAAGGAAGTGTGTTATGTTTACCCATATGTCATAGACAATGATGTGGGCAGTCAGGTGAGAAATTCCTTGTTTGAGATTGCAAATGACAAAAAAATATCAATAATAATTATGGTACAGTGCACAAATAACCCGCACATAGCAGAAAGAAATTTATGATGACATTTTCGGTCTGTCTTGGACCATTAACTAGACCAAGTCAGACCAAAATATTGTCATAGGTTCCTTTTTCCTGTGTGTGGGTTATTTGTGTATTGTTCCAGTCTTGGTATACCTGGAGTTTACCTGGAGAGAGTTCCGGGGGTCAACGCCCCCGTGGCCCGGTCTATGACCAGGCCTCATGGTGGATCAGAGCCTGATCTACCAGGCTGTTACTGCTGGCTGCACGCAATCCAATGTACGAGCCACAGCCCGGCTGGTCAGGTACCAACTTTAGGTGCTTGTCCAGTGCCTGCTTGAAGACAGCCAGGGGTCTATTGGTAATCCCCCTTATGTATGCTGGGAGGCATTTTAATAATTTATACAGAAAAAGGAGTTACTAGCCTCATGCTCTTGGCATTTTAGTTGCCTCTTAAGACATGCATGGCTTATGTATGAAGGATTTTTCTCCATTTTCCCATGGAGAACATGAAAAATATGTTAATATAGCATTGTATGCTTTGAAGAATAGCTAAGGGATCATTGTAAGCTATTTTATTATTAATACACTTCCTGGTTGTTCACTAGAACATAAAAAAGTTAAGTAATCACAGTCTTGTTAACAGGATCCCAACTTCTGGACAAGCAAACACATGAACCAAGTTGATCGCTTGGTGTTTCTTGTGCCGGGTGACCCAGACAGTGAGAGTGTCACTCCCATCAGGGACCACTGGACATATGCTCTTAAGTACTTCACTGGACATTACTTTGCTACACACCAAGTCACAGACAAGGTTGCCACTGTCATCTTTCCCTTCAGTGCAGATGTGCCTAGTCAGGTTAGTGAAGGCTATAATACAATATATTTTATAATTTTGACTTAGACGAAATATTTTGTAATTTCACAATAATATGTAAATTGTAAGTGTTGATTCATTATTTAGGTCTTCCAAAACAGTAATTCTCTAAATTGACTCAACATTTTTTAAATGTATCCTCTATGCTCCTTCCCATTCTTGCTCTCCCATCTCTTGTCACACTCACTGCAAGGACATCCAGCTTTCTTTCATTCAGCATTAGAACTCAGGTCTTTCAATGCACATTCAAACAGCCCAAGTTAATATGTTCCTCTTTTGTTTTTAAGTAATTGCTAATAGAAAAAGAGGTCACCTGCCTATTACTCCTGTAATAATACTGTATGTTTATATTCCCTAAATACCTAAGGATTATATTATGCAGTATTTCATGCACACCTACCAGAATTCAATTCAGGTCTCTTACTCACAAATACCCCAAGCTACGTATATCCATAGTTATAAATGGGGCAGTTAGGTACTATACTTATACACAAATAATCTGCACATAGGAAAAACAAACTTATGACGTTTTGGTCCAACTTGGACCATTAAATAGTGTGTGTGACTAGTTAATATTCCAAGTCGGACTGAAATGTTATAAGTTCCTTTCTTCTATGTGCAGGTTATTTGTGTATTGTTCCAGTCATGGTATTGTGCCTTTTTATTTTTTCTGTGCTGTGGCCCGTGGCCTGGTGGCGAAAGCTCTCGCTTCACATTGTGAGGGTCCGGGTAGAAACAGTGGGCATGTTTCCTTACACTGGTTGTCTATGTTCACCCATCAATAAAATGGATACCTGGGTGTTAGTAGACTGGTGTGGGTCACATCCTGGAACAAAACTGACCTAATTTGTCTGAAATGTCTGCATAACAAGGGGCTTTCTGTATAGTAGTATGTCATTGATGTCAGCTATGGTCTGTATACCTTGTACATGTACTTGTAGAAATAACAAAAAGGCACAATACCGTGACTGGAACGATACACAAATAACCCGCACATAAAAGAGAGAAGCTTACGACGACGTTTCGGTCCGACTTGGACCATTGACAAAGTCACACTGTGACAAAGTCACAGTGTGACTTTGTCACAGTGTGACTTTGTCAATGGTCCAAGTTGGACCGAAACGTCGTCGTAAGCTTCTCTCTTTTATGTGCGGGTTATTTGTGTACTTGTAGAAATAAAGATATTATTATATTATTATTAATAATTTAACTTTCACAACAACTGAACTACAGTAATGAACCACCCATCCTTTGTACTATCCTTTTCTGTACAAACAACTGATTTGCAAATTTAAACACAAAGAATGTAAATTACTTCTTAGTTGAGAACCATTTCAAAAATAAACATAATCTAATATTTTCAGATTGCTAATGTGCAGCACTTCAAGCTGGTGCAAGACATGGATTCACTGGTAACTTGGATACACCATGGAACCTGGCTGGATTGTAAGCTCCTGTGGGGGCCACAGATCAAGTCACAATGCCAGAAGAATGTCACTTACACATTGTCAGACATTACCAAGGCAGTTGGTAATGTTTCTGTGGACCCCACCTGCCATAATGATTGTCAAATAAATAAGAACTCAGATGGAAAAAATGTTTTGAGTGACCCAGTAGAAGGGATGTATGCCTCACAGACTGCTTCACCTCTACATGATAAGTGCAGTGAGAGGCAAAATTGTGACACTGCAAGTGAAGTTGCTTGTGATTCAAGTGTGGAAGTGTTTGATCCAGAAGTGCCAGACATAGAGTTGTCTATACTGGGAGAGAAGACCAGTAGATCAGTTGATGAGCAGTCATCAGATGAGTCCTCTGATGAAGTAGATGACAGTATCTTTCTCTGAATCTTCAACCTTTAAGAGAGGTGCCTAGATGCTTGTAAAGAGGTAATGATACAAGGACCTGGAGCTGCCTTCCCCTTCCATGGCTCAAACATTATTACCAATCATCATGAATACAGTATAATAATGATCTGATTCATCTTTTATTTTTTTAACACGTTGGCCATCTCCCACCAAGGCACAGTGACCCAAAAAAAAGAAACACTTTCACACTATCACTATCATTCACACTATCACTATCTTGCCAGAGGTGCAAGGATACGACAGTACAAAGGATCCTTCAGACATCAAATATGTATCCCCAGACCTCCCTTTAGAGTGCAGGCACTGTACTTCCCAACTCCAGGACTCAAGTTCAGATAACCGGTTTCCCTGAATCCCTTCACAAAATGTTACACAGCTCATACTCCAACAGCTCATCAGATCCCAAAAACCATTTGCCTCCACTCACTCCTAACATGCTCACACATGCCTGCTGGACAGCCTTTATATGACCTCAAAACTTCAAATACATTAAAGGAAGAATTCCTTGATGCTGATAATGAACTCTTGATACAGGGAATTGTTGCTACCCTCCCATGTCTTGGATCAAACCTGATTACATAACATTTCCCAGGTGCTCTATGATCTGTTTATATTTAGTACCTTCCTCATGAATATTGAAGAATAATGGAACATAAAATATATATTTTTCTTATATTGATTAAAACACAATAATGTATTGTGTGAGTTTTTATTACCCAAAATTTATGAAGTACAGTCAGGATTTAAATAATAATAATAATAATAATAATCATAATAATAAGAATCAATAATAATAATAATCATAATAATACAAGGTATACAGGCCTAACTGACATACTACTATATAGAAAGCCCCTGGTTATGTTGAGCATTTTGGGCAAATTAAGTCAGTTTTGTCCCAAAATGCAACCCACACCATTCCACTAACACCCAGATACATATTTTACTGATGGGTGAACATGGACAGCAGGTATCTTAAGGAAACACATTTTAATGTACTGGGGATCGACCCCCAAACCTCAGTTTGAGAGATGAGTGTAAGGGGCTCCTTGCAGATACTGAAGATCTCTTTGATCTAAGAAACTGGAACTTTCCTTCCTTGTATCAGGTCTGAATATCCATTCTACCTCTTTTAGCCTCATTAGCAGAAAAAAAATGAAAGCTCCTGTGTTAATTATGGCTGATTTTTATGTGGAATTTTTGCTGCACAGAAGTCAGTGACCAACGCACAGGTGCTTCTTACAGCTCTTGCAGTTCCTGATGAACACGGGGCAGAGTTCATAGGCATGTCATTTATTGCCTTTTTGAAGTCGTGTAGTGTTTGGATAATATCAGATAAGTTTCAATCTACCAAATTCAGAGTCTTGCTCACAAAAATTCATTGAAGTCTTCGACTCTTAGTCTGCTTTGAGGCTTGCTAAAAACTGAGTCATACTGCTAATGCAAAAAAGAAGCACAGATGGATATCTTCCTGTTTAGTAAATTTTGCTCATAATGGAAGAAAAAAGGGGTTTATGACCTGTCTTTGTAATACTCACTTGTGCTTTATAGTAATCTGTTTACATTAATGTTTTATCACTGATTTCATCATTGCTTAGTTAATCTTAAGTTAATTTTAAGCCAGCCCGTAATGCTATGCATAGTATAAGTGGCTTTGGCATGCTGCTCTTATCTGTATTTTTTTGTACCTCTGTATGTGTGCTCAAATTGGTAATAAATAAATAAATAAATAAATTGTCTTGGTCTGTTCTGGAGTTTCTTCCAGTAATAGTGCCACAGTAACTGTCATTCTGCTTGAAGAAAATTGGACTGTCTGTGGGCATGTTAGTGGATTCCTTGTGGGACATCAATAGTCTGTCTGGTGGTAGAAATATTACTGAAGATTGCCAACAAATCCAATAGTGCAAGTAAGTTTATTTAGGCACAGGTACTCATAAATACAATTATCATAGAGTGTAAATTACCAAGTAGTTCCGGGAAATGCTCTACATAACAAGGGGCTTTCTATATAGTATGTCATCGATGTCAGCTATGGTTTGTATAAGTTGTAGAAATAAAGATTATTATTGTTATATTATAAGGATAACCCAAAAAAGGCAGACTTTGATCAAAATTGTAATTACACATTGTAACTTTTCCAAAGAAATAAAATCTTTCTTTATTTTTAAAGTGACTTTTTTCCATTGGGGTCCTTGAAATTTCCATTGGTAATTGGAGGAGTACAATTGCTCTTTATTCTGGTTCAGCCTGGTTGATCAAATTAACAGCCTGGTTGATCAGACCCTGATCCATCATGAGGCCTGGCCTCAGACCGGGCCATGGGGGCATTGGCCCTCGAAACCCTCTCCAGGTATACGCTTCACCAGTATTAGTTAAATGACACTGGCTTCATTGGTGCTCTCTGTCTACACAAGCATTTTGCTAAAATTTACTCAGTTTTCTCTGGAGAATCAATCCCAATGGTAAACAGTGGCAAGTTAGGAAGTGAAAGTGACACTATTGAGAGCTGGGATTATGGGTTACAGAGATTATCTTTTTTGGATCACTCACTGAGGCAGAGATGCCTGGGATTATCTTTAAAGGATCTCTCACTGAGGAAGAGAGGGCTAGGCTTACGGCTTTCTCAGATCACATGATGACTGGAGCTGTGAATCGACCCCCACAACCACAAATAGGTGAGTACATCTATTTGTTAAAGGCTTCAACAGAGAAACATTTACAATAGTTACTGTTTGACTGTGGCACCAGTGGTTTGATGACATATTTTTTACAGTGGAAGAGAAAGTTGAAAGTAAGCCATGTCAAGGATAACCCAGGGGCTTTCCACTGAGGTAAGTAAGTTGATTCAGGTATACACAAATACATTTACATAGATTATCATACACAGCAGCATATGTGTAGAGAACCTAGAATAACCCAAAAAAGTCAGACAGAGTGACTTATTTCCATTGTGATAGCCCATGACACTTATTTTTGTAACAATAATAAAGTTTTTTTCATAAGATCGATTACAATTATCTCCCTACATGAGGGCGAGGTGGGACTGGAAAAACATGAGCAGGAAGCAGTGGTGGTGGTGGTGGTAGTAGTAGTAGTAGTGGTAGTAGCAGTGATGGTAGTAGTAGTGGTAGTAGCAGTAGTGGTAGTAGCAGTGGTAATAGTAGTAGTAGTGGTAGTAGCAGTGGTAGTAGCAGTAGTGGTAGTAGTAGTAATGGTAAAAGCAGTGGTGGTAGTAGCAGTGGTAGTAGTAGTAGTTGTAGTAGCAGTAGTGGTAGTAGCAGTGGTAATAGTAGTGGTAGTAGCAGTAGTGGTAGTAGCAGTGGTGGTAGTAGTAGTAGTGGTAGTAGCAGTGGTGGTAGTAGTAGTGGTAGTAGTAGTAGTGGTAGTAGCAGTGGTGGTGGTAGTAGTAGTAGTATCAGTAGTGGTAGTAGCAGTAGTGGTAGTAGCAGTATCAGTAGTGGTAGTATCAGTAGTGGTAGTTGCAGTAGTGGTAGTAGCAGTAGTGGTAGTAGCAGTAGTGGTAGTAGCAGTAGTTGTAGTAGCAGTAGTGGTAGTATCAGTAGTGGTAGTAGCAGTAGTGGTAGTAGCAGTAGTGGTAGTAGCAGTTGTAAGATAAGATAAGATAAGATTTCGTTCGGATTTTTAACCCCGGAGGGTTAGCCACCCAGGATAACCCAAGAAAGTCAGTGCGTCATCGAGGACTGTCTAACTTATTTCCATTGGGGTCCTTAATCTTGTCCCCCAGGATGCGACCCACACCAGTCGACTAACACCCAGGTACCTATTTGCTGCTAGGTGAACAGGACAACAGGTGTAAGGAAACTGTGTCGAATGTTTCCACCCGCCGGGAATCGAACCCGGGCCCTCCGTGTGTGAAGCGGGAGCTTTAGCCACCAGGCCACCGTAGTGGTAGTAGCAGTTGTAATAGTAGCTATAGTGGTAGTAGTAGCTGTAGTGGTAGCAGCAGTTGTAGTAGTAGCTGTAGTGGTAGTAGGAGTTGTAGTAGTAGCTGTAGTGGTAGTAGGAGTTGTAGTAGTAGCTGTAGTGGTAGTAGCAGTAGTGGTAGTAGCAGTAGTGGTAGTAGCAGTAGTGGTAGTAGCAGTTGTGGTAGTAGTGGTAGTAACAGTAGTGGTAGTAGCAGTAGTGGTAGTAGCAGTAGTGGTAGTAGCAGTAGTGGTAGTAGCAGTAGTTGTAGTAGCAGTAGTGGTAGTATCAGTAATGGTAGTAGCAGTAGTGGTAGTAGCAGTAGTGGTAGTAGCAGTTGTAATAGTAGCTGTAGTGGTAGTAGCAGTTGTAGTAGTAGCCATAGTGGTAGTAGCAGTTGTAGTAGTAGCTGTAGTGGTAGCAGCAGTTGTAGTAGTAGCTGTAGTGGTAGTAGCAGTTGTAGTAGTAGCTGTAGTGGTAGTAGCAGTTGTAGTAGTAGCTGTAGTGGTAGTAGCAGTAGTGGTAGTAGCAGTTGTGGTAGTAGTGGTAGTAACAGTAGTGGTCGTAGTGGTAGTAACAGTAGTGGTCGTAGCAGTAGTGGTAGTAGCAGTAGTGGTAGTAGCAGTAGTGGTAGTAGCAGTAGTGGTAGTAGCAGTAGTGGTAGTATCAGTAGTGGTAGTATCAGTAGTGGTAGTAGCAGTAGTGGTAGTAGCTGTAGTAGTAGCTGTAGTGGTAGTAGCAGTTGTAGTAGTACCTATATTGGTAGTAGCAGTTGTAGTAGTAGCTGTAGTGGTAGTAGCAGTTGTAGTAGTAGCTGTAGTGGTAGTAGCAGTTGTAGTAGTAGCTGTAGTGGTAGTAGCAGTTGTAGTAGTAGCTGTAGTGGTAGTAGCAGTTGTAGTAGTAGCTGTAGTGGTAGTAGCAGTAGTGGTAGTAGCAGTAGTGGCAGTAGCAGTAGTAGCAGTAGTGGTAGTAGCAGTTGTGGTAGTAGCAGTAGTGGTAGTAACAGTAGTGGTAGTAGCAGTAGTGGTAGTAGCAGTAGTGGTAGTAGGGAGTAGTGGTAAATAGCAGTAGTGGTATTTTCAGTAGTGGTAATAGCAGTAGTGGTAGTAGCAGTAGTGGTAGTAGCAGTTGTAGTAGTAGCTGTAGTGGTAGTAGCAGTTGTAGTAGTAGCTGTAGTGGTAGTAGCAGTTGTAGTAGTAGCTGTAGTGGTAGTAGCAGTTGTAGTAGTAGCTGAAGTTTACCTGGAGTTTACCTGGAGAGAGTTTCGGGGGTCAACGCCCCCGCGGCCCGGTCTGTGACCAGGCCTCCTGGTGGATCAGCGCCTGATCAACCAGGCTGTTGCTGCTGGCTGCACGCAAACCAACGTACGAGCCACAGCCCGGCTGATCAGGAACTGCCTTTAGGTGCTTGTCCAGTGCCAGCTTGAAGACTGCCAGGGGTCTGTTGGTAATCCCCCTTATGTGTGCTGGGAGGCAGTTGAACAGTCTCGGTCCCCTGACACTTATTGTATGTCTTTTAAACGGGGCAAAGTGACACCCCTGCTTTTCATTGGGGGGATGGTGCATCGCCCTCCCAAGTCTTTTGCTTTCGTAGTGAGTGATTTTCGTGTGCAAGTTCGGTATAGTCCCTCTAGGTTTTTTCCAGGTGTATTAATCATGTATCTCTCCCTCCTGCGTTCCAGGGAATACAGGTTTAGAAACCTCAAGCGCCCCCAGTAATTGAGGTGTTTTATCTCCGTTATGCGCGCCGTGAAAGTTCTTTTGTACATTTTCTAGGTCGGCAATTTCACCTGCCTTGAAAGGTGCTGTTAGAGTGCAGCAAATTCCAGCCTAGATAGAACAAGTGACCTGAAGAGTGTCATCATGGGCTTGGCCCCCCTAGTTTTGAAGGTTCTCATTATCCATCTGTCATTTTTCTAGCAGATGCGATTGATACAATGTTATGGTCCTTGAAGGTGAGATCCTCCGACATGATCACTCCCAGGTCTTTGACGTTGGTGTTTCGCTCTATTTTGTGGCCAGAATTTTTTTTGGGTACTCTGATGAAGATTTAATTTCCTCATGTTTACATATCTGAGTAATTGAAATTTCTCATCGTTGAATTCATATTGTTTTCTGCAGCCCACTGAAAGATTTGGTTGATGTCTGCCTGGAGCTTTGCAGTGTCTGCAAGGGAAGACACTGTCATGCAGATTCGGGTGTCATCTGCAAAGGAAGACAGGGTGTGCTGTGGCTGACATCCTTGTCTATGTCGGATAAAAGGGATGGGGAAACCCAAGATGGGAGCAAAGTACTGTGCCTTGTGGAACAGAGCTTTTCACCGTAGCTGCCTTGGACTTTACTCTGTTGACGACTACTCTCTGTGTTCTGTTAGTGAGGAAATTATAGATCCATCGACCGACTTTTCCTTTTTATTCCTTTAGCACGCATTTTGTGCACTATTACGCCATGGTCACACTTGTCGAAGGCTTTTGAAAAGTCTGTATATATTACATTGCATTCTTTTTGTCTTCTAGTGCATTTAGGACCTTGTCGTAGTGGTCCAATAGTTTGAGACAGACAGGAGCGACCTTTTCTAAACCCATGTTGCCCTGGGTTGTGTAACTGATGGGTTTCTAGATGCGTGGTGATCTTGCTTCTTAGGACCCTTTCAAAGATTTTATGTAGGGGATGTTAGTGCTATTGGTTTTGAAAGTTCTTTGCTGTTGCTTTACTGCCCCCTTTGTGGAGTGGGGCTATGTCTGTTGTTTTTAGTAACTGTGGGACGACCCACCGTGTCCATGCTCCCTCTCCATAGGATGGAAAAGGCTCGTGATAGGGCTTCTTGCAGTTCTTGATGAACACCCGAGTTCCATGAGTCTGGCCCTGGGGCAGAGTGCATGGGCATGTCATTTACGCCTGTTCGAAGTCATTTGGCGTCAGGATAACATCGGATAGGCTTTGTGTTAAAACAAATTTTGTGGCTCTCTCATAAAAAATTCATTTTGATCTTCGACTCTCAGTCTGGTTAGCGGCTTGCTAAAAACTGAGTCATATTGGGACTTGAGTAGCTCACTCATTTCCTTGCTGATCTGTGTAGGACCCATCTTGTTTAAGTTTGGGGCCCAATACTGGACGTTGTTCTCGATTTTGATTTGGCATAGGAGAAGAAATACTTTGGGTTTCTTTTTGATTTCATTTATGGCTTTTAGTTCTTCCCGCGATTTCCCGACTCCTAAAGGATTCTTTTTGCTTAAGTTCGATGCTTGCTATTTCTCTGACCAGTGTCTCCCTACGCATTCAGATATATTGACCTCTTTTAGCCGCCTGTTATTCTTTTTCCGTCGCCTGTAAAGGGAGCGCCTGTCTCTTTCTATTTTACATCTACTCCTCCTTTTTCTTAGAGGAATAAGTCTTGTGCATACATCGAGTGCCACCAAGTTAATCTGTTCTAGGCATAAGTTGGGGTCTGTGTTGCTTAGTATATCTTCCCAGCTTATGTCGGTTAGGACTTGGTTTACTTGGTCCCACTTTATGTTTTTGTTATTGAAGTTGAATTTGGTGAATGCTCCCTCGTGACTAATCTCATTATGTCGGTCTGGGGCTCCGCGCATACATGACTGAACCTCAATTATGTTGTGATCTGAGTATATTGTTTTTGGTATGTGTGTGTGGTGTGTGTGACTCAACAATCAACATTTGCACCAATAACTCATTACAGTTGTGACCGGGTGTGGAAGTGTGAATTGCTCACTACACTATAATTTGTTCATGATTGCAGCCATGTATAAACGTAAGTAACCATTCTTACAGTATTCATTACCTTTGTAACTTGTGAGCTCATTACCTTTGTACCTAGTTCAGCTATCAAAACTTTGGGGGCCCAGTCCCTGGACCCATTACGTACCTCTGTAATCTGTAAATACCTTTGTAACTTGTCATGGTTGTGACCAGACTTACCTGGAGTTCATTACCTTTGTAAATTGTGAGTTCATTACCTTTGTAAATTGTGAGTTCATTACCTTTGTAAATTGTGAGTTCATTACCTTTGTAAATTGTGAGTTCATTACCTTTGTAAATTGTGAGTTCATTACCTTTGTAAATTGTGAGTTCATTACCTTTGTAAATTGTGAGTTCATTACCTTTGTAAATTGTCAGTTCATTACCTTTGTAAATTGTGAGTTCATTACCTCTGTAACTTGCTCAGCTATCAAAACTTTGGAGTCCAGTCCCTGGACCCATTATGTACCTCTGTAATCTTTTGACTACCGCCCACAGGATGGGTATGGGGTGACTACCGCCCACAGGATGGGTATGTGGTGACTACCGCCCACAGGATGGGTATGGGGTGACTACCGCCCACAGGATGGGTATGGGGTGACTACCGCCCACAGGATGGTTATGGGGTGACTACCGCACACAGGATGGGTATGGGGTGACTACCGCCCACAGGATGGTTATGGGGTGACTACCGCCCACAGGATGGTTATGGGGTGATTACCGCCCACAGGATGGTTATGGGGTGATTACCGCCCACAGGATGGTTATGGGGTGACTACCGCCCACAGGATGGGTATGGGGTGACTACCGCCCACAGGATGGTTATGGGGTGACTACCGCCCACAGGATGGTTATGGGGTGACTACCGCCCACAGGATTACCTGGAGTTTACCTGGAGAGAGTTTCGGGGGTCAACGCCCCCGCGGCCCGGTCTGTGACCAGGCCTCCTGGTGGATCAGCGCCTGATCAACCAGGCTGTTGCTGCTGGCTGCACGCAAACCAACGTACGAGCCACAGCCCGGCTGATCAGGAACTGCCTTTAGGTGCTTGTCCAGTGCCAGCTTGAAGACTGCCAGGGGTCTGTTGGTAATCCCCCTTATGTGTGCTGGGAGGCGTTGAACATCTCGGTCCCCTGACACTTATTGTTTTGGTCTCTTAACGTGCAAAGTGAAACCCCTGTTTCATTGGGGGATGGGGGCATCGTCTGCCAAGTCTTTTGCTTTCGAAAGTGAGTGATTTTCGTTGCAAGTTCGTACTAGTCCCTCTAGGATTTTCCGGGTGTATATAATCATGTATTCCTCCCTCCTGCGTTCCAGGGAATACAGGTTTAGAAACCTCAGCGCTCCCAGTAATTGAGGTTTTTATCTCCGTTATGCGCGCCGTGAAAGTTCTCTGTACATTTTTCTAGGTCGGCAATTTTTCACCTGCCTTGAAAGGTGCTGTTAGAGTGCAGCAATTATTCCAGCCTAGATAGAACAAGTGACCTGAAGAGTGTCATCATGGGCTTGGCCTCCCTAGTTTTGAAGGTTCTCATTATCCATCCTTTTCATTTTTCTAGCAGATGCGATTGATACAATGTTATGGTCCTTGAAGGTGAGATCCTCCGACATAATCACTCCAGGTCTTTGACTTTGGTGTTTCGCTCTATTTTGTGGCCAGAATTTGTTTTGTACTCTGATGAAGATTTAATTTCCTCATGTTTACCATATCTGAGTAATTGAAATTTCTCATCGTTGAACTTCATATTGTTTTCTGCAGCCCACTGAAAGATTTGGTTGATGTCCGCCTGGAGCCTTGCAGTGTCTGCAATGTCTGCCTGGAGCCTTGCAGTGTCTGCAATGTCTGCCTGGAGCCTTGCAGTGTCTGCAATGTCTGCCTGGAGCCTTGCAGTGTCTGCAATGGAAGACACTGTCATGCAGATTCGGGTGTCATCTGCAAAGGAAGACACGGTGCTGTGGCTGACATCCTTGTCTATGTCGGATATGAGGATGAGGAACAAGATTAGTAAGTAAGTAAGTAAGTAAGTAAATTTATTCAGGTATACACAAATACAGTTACATAGAATTATCATACATAGCAGCATATGTGTAGATAACCTGGGATAACCCAAAAAAGTCAGACACAGTGACATATTTCCATTGGGGTCCTTTTACCTTATTATTATAATATAAAGGTTATAATATTTTCTTATTATTCTATAATGAAGATAACATCTTATTATCATACTAGGGTATGGGGTGCATAATAAACATATTAAAATAAAAAAAGTATTAGTGTAGTTAGTTGATTAACTTTAATGGAGTTATATATGAGGTAATATACACATATATTATTTAAATGAAACAATTATAACTATCTAAAGATACTTATTGGTAGATAAAGTTAGTTATTCAGTTATTAACAGTTATCAATATAGGTATGGTAGGGTAAGACAGAGATAAATTGACTTTAATGGAGTTATATATGAGGTAATTTACACATATTACTTAAATGAAACAATTATAACTATCTAAAGATAATAATAACTAAAGATAGTCAGTTATCAGTGGGTGTGGCCTTGCTGCCAGACGTGTGTAGTGGTTGTTAACTTGTGTTTTTAACCAACTATGGTTAAATATACCAATTTAACATTGAATTTAACGTTAATATTGACCATCAGAACTTGTGTCAGTTTAAAATTGGATCCAAAGCTCTGTGAAAATGTTAAAAATTGTTACCACAATCAATCTGGCCTATGTGGCCATGAGGAAAATATTTTGTCTTGTGCCTCTCAGGTAGGCCTATTTTCTTCATTTTCTTCCACTTAGGCCTCTTGTGTGACCTTTCAGTCTCTTGATCCAAGGAAGTGGAGTTAACCTCATTACTCCTGGTTCTTGTAGGAAAAAAAAAATGTCGCCTTAATGTGACAGTCAGAAACATCGTTGTAAGTGGGCAAAACTTCGTTATTATTGGTCAAAACGTCGTTATTAGTGGACAAGAAGTCATCTTTATATTTTTAGTGGCCAAAACGTCGTTAGTATTGGCCAAAACATCGTTATTAGTGGACAAAACATCGTTATTAGTGGACAAAACGTCGTTGTGGTGGCCAAAACGTCGTTGTAAATGGCCAAAACGTCGTTGTAGTGGCCAAAATGTTGTAAGTGGCCAAAACGTCGTTGTAGTGGCCAAAACGTCGTTGTAGTGGCCAAAACGTCGTTGTAGTGGCCAAAACGCCGTTGTAGTGGCCAAAACGTCGTTGTAGTGGCCAAAACGTCGTTGTAGTGGCCAAAACGTCGTTGTGATGGCCAAAACGTCGTTGTAGTGGCCAAAACGCCGTTGTAGTGGCCAAAACGTCATTGTAGTGGCCCAAACGCCATTGTAAGTGGCCAAAACGTCATTATAAGTGGCCGAAACGTCGTCATTAAGTGCTCTAGATAATCACTAACTTTATTTAGGTATAAGTAATAATTTTTGGATTATTATATTATTATTATAACACATTAACACAGTTATAAATTACCCAGAAAAAAGAATCATTGACCATTTCCTTTGGGATCCTTAAGTAACTTTAAGTAAGTTTATTTACATATAAGTACACGTAAGTACATTTATTACGGATAGTTTAACATATATATAAATTACCTGTAGCCAGGATAACCCCAAAAATTTAAAGTGAGTTTATTGGGGTCGTTGAGTAAGCTAATTATGTGGCCCTTGCGTGTTTAGTGCTCTGAGTATAATAATTCACGTTATCGAGGCCTGATGTAGTATTTCGAGCTAAAATAAATAATAATATATCTTGGTCTATATTCTATACTGGAGTAATTTTTTTACTGGTGTCCCTCAGTGTCTTTGCTGGGTCCTAATTTTATTGAAATATAATTGTTTCTTTTTTAATTTAAGAATACCATAGGTTATATAGAATTACAGTACATAAATGCTATTACAAGAACCCCAGTGGAAAGAAATCACTGACTTTTTTGGGTTATTACCCCTCAAGGAAGGTTCCTTGATGTTGGTGAGGGGCTCTTGATTTAGGGAATTGGATCTGTGCTCCAGTTCCCTGAATTAAGCCTGAATGCCTTCCACCCCCCCCCCCAGGCGCTGTATAATCCTCCAGGTTTAGCGCTTTCCCCTTGATTATAATAATAATTTGGGTTATTAGGCCGTGATCCACCGCGAGGCCTGGGCCCCAGACCAAGCTGTGGGGGCATTTATTTATTTATTTATTTATTTATTTATTTTATCTATTTATTTATTATTATTTGAACACGATACAGTGAAGTAACAAAGGAATACAGTTATTACAGCACAACATACCAAAGCACCTTGTATGCAGAACATTATGGACAGCTTAAATTAACTTAAGATTAAATAAGCAATGATATATTCAGTGGTAAACATTATAGTAAACAAATAACAATTAAGTACAAATAAGTATTACCAAGACAGTTCATATGGTCATTTACTGAGTTTTCTGAGCATTCACTAGAATGGAGTTAAATTTTGTTTGGTTATGTAATTAAAAAATGTAGTTTGATTGGGTCACAGGTTAAACATTTATGAGATACAATTATTCGGTATTTATTTAGTTGTGGGTGAGTAAGTGATTTTTAGAAAGAGTCTTGAACTTATAAACAGACAGTGTTTCTTTTATATTCACAGGTAATGAATTCCAGATTTTTGACCCCTAAAATCCTCGCCTGGTTTACTCCAGGTTTATGTGTATATATGTAATGTGTAACAGAATATAAAGGTACACAGAATGCTGTTTGATTATTACTGTTCTTATCAATCTTTATATTTCAGTTAAGGAGCGCTGAAAACATCAATGGAAGTTGTCAGGTACAGCGAATTACTAAAGGTTAGTTTTATGTTAATTTGTATTCTATCATGGGGATCGTTTCCCAGTACAGGAGGGCCCCACTTATACGACAGGTTAGGTTCCGGGTTACTGTATGGCCTTGCTTATACAACAGGTTAGGTTCCGAGCCACGGTGCTACCCGGCCATGGTGCCCCGTGGCCTGGTGGCAAAAGCTCTCGCTTCACACGGTGAGGATCTGGGCTCAATTCCTTGCGAAAGGGTGGAAACATTGGATGTGTTTCCTTACACCAGTTGTCTATGCTCACCCATCAATAAAATGGGTACCTGGGTGTTAGTCGACTGGTGTGGGTCGCATCCTGGGACAAAACTGACCTAATTTGCCCAAAATTCTGAGCATAACAAGGGGCTTTCTATATAGTACGTAGTATGTCATTGATGTCAGCTATGGTCTGTATACCTTGTACATGTACTTGTAGTAAATAAAGATATTATTATTATTATTATTATTGTTATGTATTATTATTATTACATATTATTATTACATATTATTATTACTGTAGGGCCCCACTTATACAACAGGTTAGGTTCTGGGCTACTGTAGGGCCCTGCATATACAGCAGGTTAAGTACTGGGCTACTGTAGTGCCCTGCATATACAGCAGGTTAGGTTCTGGGCTACTGTAGGGCCCTGCATATACAGCAGGTTAGGTTCTGGGCTACTGTAGGGCCCTGCATATACAGCAGGTTAGGTACTAGGCTACTGTAGGGCCCTGCATATACAGCAGGTTAAGTACCGGGCTACTGTAGGGCCCTGCATAAACAACAGGTTAGGTTCTGGGCTACTGTAGGGCCCTGCATATACAGCAGGTTAAGTTCTGGGCTACTGTAGGGCCCTGCATATACAGCAGGTTAGGTTCTGGGCTACTGTAGGGCCCTGCATATACAGCAGGTTAGGTACTAGGCTACTGTAGGGCCCTGCATATACAGCAGGTTAAGTACCGGGCTACTGTAGGGCCTTGCATATACACCAGGTTAGGTTCTGGGCTACTGTAGGGCCCTGCATATACAGCAAGTTAGGTTCTGGGCTACTGTAGGGCCCTGCATATACAGCAGGTTAGGTACTAGTCTACTGTAGGGCCCTGCATATACAGCAGGTTAGGTACTGGGCCACTGTAGGACCCTGCATATACAGCAGGTTAGGTACCGGGCTACTATAGGGCCCTGCATATACAGCAGGTTAGGTACTGGGCTACTGTAGGGCCCTGCATATACAGCAGGTTAGGTACCAGGCTACTGTAGGGCCCGGCATATACAGCAGGTTGGGTTCCAGGCTACTGTAGGGCCCTGCATATACAGCAGGTTAGGTTCCAGGCTACTCTAAGGCCCTGCATATACAGCGGGTTAGGTACTGGGCTACTGTAGGGCCCTGCATACACAGCAGGTTAAGTACCGGGCTACTGTAGGGCCCTGCATATACAGCAGGTTAGGTACCAGGCTACTCTAGGGCCCTGCATATACAGCGGGTTAGGTACTGGGCTACTGTAGGGCCCTGCATACACAGCAGGTTAAGTACCAGGCTACTGTAGGGCCCTGCATATACAGCAGGTTAGGTTCTGGGCTACTGTAGGGCCCTGCATATACAGCAGGTTAGGTCCCAGGCTACTCTAGGGCCCTGCATATACAGCAGGTTAGGTACTGGGCTACTGTAGGGCCCTGTATATACAGCAGGTTAGGTACCAGGCTACTCTAGGGCCTTGCATATACAGCAGGTTAGGTACTGGGCTACTGTAGGGCCCTGTATATACAGCAGGTTAGGTACCAGGCTACTCTAGGGCCTTGCATATACAGCAGGTTAGGTACTGGGCTACTGTAGGGCCTGTATATACAGCAGGTTAGGTACCAGGCTACTCTAGGGCCTTGCATATACAGCAGGTTAGGTACTGGGCTACTGTAGGGCCCTGTATATACAGCAGGTTAGGTACCAGGCTACTCTAGGGCCTTGCATATACAGCAGGTTAGGTACTGGGCTACTGTAGGGCCCTGTATATACAGCAGGTTAGGTACCAGGCTACTGCTGTAAAACAAAAATCACTGTAAAGTGAAACAGATTTTTTTCACCTTCAAATGCATACAACATCCTGATACAGTGAGTATCCGTGGTTCAGTCCCCGGCTGGGTAGAAACATTGGGTGTTTTTCCTTATGCCTGCTGTCACTGTTCACCTAGCAGTTAATAGGTACCTGGGTGTTAGTGGACTGGTGTAGGTGGCATCCTGGGGGACAAGATTGAAGGATCACAATGGAAATAAGACAGACAGTCCTCGATATAGTTCTGACACTCTTGGGTTATCCTGGTGGCTAACCCTCCAGGTTAAAAATCCCAACAAATCTTATCTTAACAAGAGAAGAACAGTGCAAGAAATGAATATTTCATATAACTGCTGGACTAAGAATACATTAACAATACAAGAGATCATGTTCTTTTTATGTTATAGTTTCATTCATTGGGAGGTATTCTTCTTTTGTTCTTAAATTTATTTATGCTAAGATTATCCTTGACATAATTAAGCATCCTGTTAATTAAGACTTTTGTGAATGTAATATTTGTCCTGTTTATTTATTTCTTGTGAATACTGGACACCATAATAATTTGTCTAGATTCTTTAGCGCTTTTTATATATTAAAAACTTTTATGGATTCTTTTAACATTTTTTAATGAATTGTAATTATTTTTCTGGATTCTTTATGTACATTCCTGGATTAATTAACCATTTTAGAGTCTTTTATTTTAAATTTTTTCATGATACATATAAATTTCTTTGTTAAACTGACCTACAATTTAGAGGAAACTTCAGATGAGGTTTTAGTTCATTGTCTAAAGTTGCCAAATTGTGGGCTAGTTTTTAATTGTTCCATCAGTGATATATATTGTGGCTTGTATTTTTTTCTGTGTATATGTGTGTGTGTGTGTCCCTTCTCTCTATACATGCACTGCAGCAACACCCACTGCAGCCATGAATTGAACTTATGGCCAAGTAAATCAGAAAGGAAATACTATTTACGTCAGTATTACAAGAGTAAAAACTACTAAGAACACACAGAAAAGTGTATATTGTACCGACGTTAAATAGAAACATGCAAGATTTACCTGTTACCCAGCAATCTTGTCGGTACCTAACTTTTAACAGGCTTTTGTTACTCTCATACACAGGCAGGCCCTTCATATACACCGCTTATTTTCAGTTAGGTTAGGTAAAGTTCATCAGGAAACAGGACAAGTGTTTTCTGATCCAGGTCTTAGTCAGATGATGACCCGCTGTTGGAGCTTTTGGTCATCTAACCTAGGCCTTCCACTGGCTTACTCCTCCACCCCTTTAAAAATTGTGGTCATAGTTATAACCATTTTTTCTCTGTTTTCTATGTTCCACATTTTTGTTTGCTTTCAATTGAGCCATTGTTCCATCTGCCAATGATCATCACTGGTGTGTGGATCAAAATGAATAGTGGCTCAATTTAAAGCTAACGAACATATGGAACTCTCCTGTCATGGATGGTAGTATTGTACCTTCCTGGATGATTGCTGTTTACCACCTTGTATATTTATGATTTACTCCTTAATTTTCTTTTTTTCAGAGTGTTACCTGGATGCACCACTTTTATCTGACCCACGAACACCGCTGGTTAATATACGAATGTACCTTGAGAGGATTTGGATGGCCAACAGATCAGTTCTCAACCTAACATTTCCCTCACCTGAGTGGACTAGTGAGTTACAATATTTTTATTAATAATACATATTAACTTACCGTCAAAACAGTTGTAATTGTATTTAATTTATTAAAAGAGTAACAATAGTTCATAAATTTGTGTGAAGATACACTTCAACCTGAAATGCTATACATAATTTTAGGCTTTTCCATGTAAGGAAACAGGCAGCTAAAGTCAGTACCTGATCAGTCAGGCTGTGGTGCATACATTGGATTATGTGTGGTCAGCAGTAACAGTCTGGTTGATAAGGCCCTGATCCACCATGAAGCCTGGCCATGGATCAGGTTGCAGGGGCATTGGCCCTTGAAACACCCTCCAGTTATACTCCAGGGGGCCCTTCATGGAAGAAAGGGATATGCCTTGATGTTAATGAAGTGCTCTTGATTCAAGGAATTGAAGCTATCCTCCCATTCCTGGAATTCAGCTTGATACCCAGGTGCTGCATGGCCCCTATGCTTTTAGCCCTTCCCAGCGAACATATTAATCCATGGAGGGAATAAACAAGCTATTAACCCATTCTTCTATATGGAGGGTGTTCTAGGGGTCAGTCCTCCTGTGGCCTGGTCCATGACTAGGCCTCTGAAGATAAGATAAGATTTTGTGCTCTTGGGAGATTCTGAAGAGAAGTTGCAGAGGTTGGTGGATGAATTTGGTAGGGTATGCAAAAGAAGAAAATTAAAAGTGAATACAGGAAAGAGTAAGGTTATGAGGATAACAAAAAGATTAGATGATGAAAGATTGGATATCAGATTGGAGGGAGGGAGTATGGAGGAGGTGAATGTATTCAGATATTTGGGAGTGGACGTGTCAGCGGATGGGTCTATGAAAGATGAGGTGAATCATAGAATTGATGAGGGGAAAAGGGTGAGCGGTGCACTTAGGAGTCTGTGGAGACAAAGAACTTTGTCCATGGAGGCAAAGAGGGGAATGTATGAGAGTATAGTTTTACCAATGGTCTTATATGGGTGTGAAGCATTGGTGATGAATGTTTCAGTGAGGAGAAGGCTGGAGGCAGTGGAGATGTCATATCTGAGGGTAATGTGTGGTGTGAATATAATGCAGAGAATTCGTAGTTTGGAAGTTAGGAGGAGGTGCGGGATTGCCAAAACTGTTGTCCAGAGGACTGAGGAAGGGTTGTTGAGGTGGTTCGGACATGTAGAGAGAATGGAGCAAAACAGAATGACTTCAAGAGTGTATCAGTCTGTAGTGGAAGGAAGGCAGGGTAGGGGTCGGCCTAGGAAAGGTTGGAGGGAGGGGGTAAAGGAGGTTTTGTGTGCGAGGGGCTTGGACTTCCAGCGGGCATGCATGAGCGTGTTTGATAGGAGTGAATGGAGACAAATGGTTTTTAATACTTGACGTGCTATTGGAGTGTGAGCAAAGTAACATTTATACAGGGATTCAGGGAAACCGGCAGGCCGGACTTGAGAGATGGGAAGTGCAGTGTCTACACTGCAGTTTAAAAACTGTAGTGTAAAGCACCCTTCTGGCAAGACAGTGATGGAGTGAATGATGGTGAAAGTTTTATTTTTTGGGCCACCCTGCCTTGGTGGGAATCACCCAGTGTGCTAATAAAAAAAAAAAAAATTAACCCAGAGGGTTAACCACCCAGGATAACCCAAGAAAGTCAGTGTGTCAGATCGAGGACTGTCTGTCTTATTTCCATTTTGGTCCTTCAGTCTTGTCCCCCAGGTTGCAACTCACACCAGTCCACTAACTCCCATGTATCTACTTGCTTGCTAGGTGAACAGAGACAACAGGTGTTAGGAAACATCCAATGTTTTCACCCTTAGCTGGGATCAAACTGGGACACTCAGTGTGTGAGGCAAAAGTGTTGCCTTGTCAGTAGTCTTATTGTGTACTTGTGTGGTATATGTACTTAGATATTCTCACCGCTGTCACCATTTGTCATGGGGGGTTCAGAGGAAATTTTGGAGTGAGAAATACACACGTTGGATGTCCGGAGGCGTATAATTAATGTGAGTTGAGGGGAGTCCAGGAGCCTGCCTATCGAGTCTGCTATGCCTAGCCTTGAACTGAGAAAGAACACTGTGGCCTACAGCTCATGTGTGAGGAACTCGTGATGACACAGCTAGCCAAAGAGCCTATCTGTAAGGCAGCTGGGATTATCTAAGTATACTACACAAGTACACAGTAACACTACTAACAGCCTACCAGGCAAATTTATGTTTATTAAATATATGTACAGGGAATTTGAATGGGAATACTGTCTTGTATCTCCCCCTTACAGTATTTGTTTCCCTAATATATTCCATGTTTCAGGTCTGAAATTCAGGTATCAAGGTCTAGATGATGACAGTCTTAAGCTGTGCAGGCATTTCTACCTTTCTGATGTGAACTATCCACTGACTGATGACCTAATATGGGATTGCACTATCTTTCAACATGATAATGAAAGAGACTTATCATTAACTGTAGTCAGCGGTGAAAGAAAAGGCGGAACATACTATTTCAATGCTCCAGAAAGCAGACGGATTGGTGAGTTAAAATTACACATCAAAAACTGTTGGTATACTCTAAGTAAAAGTCCTCAATATATCATCTACCTACACTTTGTTAAATAAAAGCCCTCTCTAGTATGTATCATGTACCCATGCTCTCCTAAATAAAAGTCCTCTATTATGTATGATCTACCCATGCTCTCCTAAATAAAAGTCTTCTATTATGTATGATCTACCCAAAATCTAAATAAAAGTCCTCTATTATGTATGATCTACCCATGCTCTCCTAAATAAAAGTCCTCTATTATGTATGATCTACCCATGCTCTCCTAAATAAAAGTCTTCTATTATGTATCATCTACCCAAAATCTAAATAAAAGTCCTCTTTGTATCATCTACCCATGCTCTGCTTTACCCTATATTACAAACACATTAGTCTGCCCAAAATGCACTGCATGCTAGTGGCCTTCTCTTGTGTTTAACAGTATTTTATTACATGTAAACTGCATTTTGTATACTGCAAAAAAATTTTTTGCTTTACATGGTATACATGTATGGGGATCAACAACTGCAACAGTTATCTTAACCTAGTCACACAATAAAATGCAGTCATCAGAGTTCTAATAATGTTAGGTTTAGCAAAACACCGCCTTTATTCAAAGCATTCAGTTTACTGTACATAGAAGCCATTCATACATTCTGCACTTTGTGTTACATTTTTCAATATAGAATTAAGATTCTTATGGTAAATGGTACACTAGGTACAGTATCTTTATTGATGAGTTATTTTACCTGTGCTACAGGGTTCTTTATTCAAATACTGAGATGAATTTCAGTCTTGAAGATGGTTGATGAAGTGGAGAGAGAGTTTGAGGTAATCAGTCTGTCAGCCTTATTGGAAGACACTGATTGTCTTCCATCAGTGCTGAGGGACTGGAACAATACACAAATAACCTGCACATAGGAGAGAGGACTTTACCACGACATGTCGGGCTGACTTAGTCCATTTAGTGTGACTGTCAATGGTCCAAATCTGACCAAAACATTGTTGTAAGCTCCTCACTCCCAAACTACAAATAACAAACCAGTGTATATTCCTACTACACTACTGTGCAATACCTTGAACCATCCCTCATTAGCTAGTATCAACTACCTCAAATAATATTCCTGTAGTGATATTAATTGCTCAAACTTTATGCTATAAGGCAATTCCTACTCTCAGATTATTTTCATATCTTAGTGACTATATTGTGTGTGCAATTAGTGTATATTTCAATTACATTATTGTTCAAGGTCCAAAACTATCTTTTGCTGCTACTACCAACTACCACATATTATTTTTTACTTTTTATAGTACAATAAATTGCTCAACTTATTATATATAACAAATCAGATCTTACTCCCAAATCAATATCATATCTTAGTTACTATCTGCCACTTTAACTTTGTTTATCATTATTTAATTTAGTCCCTATATATTTTCTCCTTTATTTTAGCTCTACATAACAACCTTAGTTCATATATTCACAATTGTTAAAATAATCAAGGTGCTATTCTCAGGTGCTAAAGTGTAATAAGTTCATTATTTTGCCATTATATTCCCTAGCTCATTTATTTGATTACCATTTATTTGTTCACCACAAATTTTTTTTAGTCCCTTTTATATTGTCTCCTTTATTTTAGCTTTAAAGAACTACCTTAGCTCAAATTTTTACATTTGTTAAAATAACTCGGGTGCTATTTTATGGCTTTAGAATATATACTTTGTCTTATACTTAATTCTAACTATAGATTCACTATAAATCTTATGATAACAAGCATTGATCCTGATACCAACCTCTTATTGAATGACTTGAATGAATCAAACAGTAACTGTAATTACTACACAGCAGAACAATCAAAGGCACTCTCAGAGCCCAACAACAACATAACTGTCTTTAACTACAATATTCAGATCTTTAAGTAAACATTACAATGACCCCCATAGCATTACTAAATTCCCTGCATGCCAGTATGTCCATCATTACTCTCACCGAAACCTGGCTAAAGCCTGACACTACAGACATCTATGCCATTCCCCGGTTACACAGCCATACACAACTGTAGGCCAGATCAACAAGGGGGTGGCACAGCTGTGTACTACTCAGACCAACTAGAATGTATCACTAATACTTGCACAAGGGATGAACATGGGGAATATATAATAGCTAAATTCAAATCCAAATCCAAATACATGTACCTACAAAAACCTCTCACAGTGATAAACATCTACAGAGAGTAAACCCCAAATCAAAACATTAGCCGTTTTTGTGAAAAAACCCAGGAAGTATGATAACTGATGCATGCATGAACAAAGATCACTTACTACTCTCAGGTGACTTCAATATAAATCTTCACAAACACTATGAGTAACTGCATGTTGCTACCAACAGTAACAAAACCTACAAGAGTTACGGAGACTAGTGTTTCCCTACTAGACCACATCTGGACCCAACACCATATCCCCTTTAAAATCAGGCATAATCACAGATAATCCACAGATCACTAACCCTACCTCCTCATCACAAATCTTGGCAAATTACCACAAGACACTACAAAAATCACTTTCAGACTTCACAATGAGGCAGCCATTAATAACTTCACAGCAGCAGTGACAAACATTGACTGGCACACTGAGCTAGAAATCTATAAAAGATATTGATGAATGTATTAATAATTTTCTAAAAAAGACCCAGTACCTCTATAACAAGCACTGCCCCCAAAAAAACTAAACAGATGACAGCTAAGAGACTGAACAGACTGGCTAACACCCAGTGTCCTCAAATCCATAAATACAAAGCACCTATACGAAAAAAACAATACAGAATGGGTCACATAACAGTGACCCAAAAAAACCATTACTCGTCAATCTAACCAGCCTGATAAAAAGGGCTAAAAAAAAATGTATTATGAGAAAGATTATCCACTTACAAGGTGATATAAAAAAGACTGAAAACCCTATTTGAAATTTAGGAACAAAAAAGATATCACGAAATAGCGAAATTGAATTTTAAAAAAACCAGATGAAACCCAACTCCCACCAACTGAAACAGCAAACAGACTCAAAAATTTTTTCCACTATAGGAAAAAACCTTGCCAATAAAATCCCAAGCTCAGGTACCCCACCAAAGACTACCCCACTGGCAACTACCCGAACACATGTTCCTAGCTCCGACTAACCCTACTGAAGTCTCCCTTATTATCAAACACACTAAAAAACAAGACAGGAGATTTAAATTCCTTACACCCTTTATATACAAAAAAGCGTCACAAGTGCTATCACCCAAACACTGCAACACTAACAAATCCATAGGGAATCCTCTACCTTCCCTACAGTTCTCAAAATAGAAAAGGGGCACCCGATCCATAAGGAGGAGACCAAACAGACTTGAATAACAATAGGCTAATATCCAACTTACACCCTCTCTCTAAAATCTTCGAAAAATTAATTCACAAGCGAATCTATTCCTACCTCATCTCCCACAACATACTCAACCCCTGTCAATTTGGGTTCAGGCCTAATAAAAATACTAATGATGCTATTATACACATGCTAGAGCACATATACACTGCAATAGAGAAAAAAGAAGTCCCACTGGGGATCTTCATTGACTTACGTAAAGCTTTTGATACAGTTGACCATGACTTGCGCCATATAAAATTATCACACTGTGGTATAAGAGGGCACTCCCTCAACTACCTAAAGTCTTACCTCAGCAACAGAAGCCAATATGTGTACACAAACGGGGCAAACTCTTCCGCACAGCCAATTGCAGTTGGTGTCCCACAGGGAAGTGTCCTAGGCCCTCTTCTCTTTCTCATATACATAAATGACCTACCAAATGCATCGCAACTACTCAAACCCACACTATTTTCAGATGACACTACATATGTCTTCTCTCACCCGAGCCCAGTCACGCTAGCCAATCCTGTTTAGTTTAATATGTTTATTATGCACCCCATACCCATCCTGTGGGCGGTAGTCAAAAGATTACAGAGGTACATAATTGGTCCAGGGACTGGACTCCAAAGTTTTTGTAGCTGAGCAAGTTACAAAGGTAATGAACTAGATCTGGTCATAATCATGACCAAGTTACAAAGGTAATGAGCTCCAGGTAGAGCTGGTCACACTCATGAATAATTGCAAAGGTAATGAATCATAAACACATTAATCATGAGAATTTACAAAGGGAATGAGCTCCAGGTAGAGCTGGTCACAATCATGACAAGTTTCATAGGTAATGAATGATAAACACGTTATGACATGATTACAATCATAGACAAATTACAGAGTAATGAGCAGTTAACAAACATAGTAGGGAATTTATCCATTGCCCCAACAACAGATGTTGCTAGGTGCCTGTCTCTCCTTGGCAGACAGCCATTGCAAACAGCAGCAAGTTGCCCAGGGATCTGCTGCTTGCACGAGCACCATCGACAATACTGTAAATACCGAATTACAGAAAATATCTACCTGGATGAGTACTAACAAACTTACTCTAAACATTGACAAAACCTACTTCATTCAGTTTGGTAACAGAGCTACAGATGTCCCTCTTAACATAATGATAAACGGATCACCTATCACAAAACTCTCAGAGGGAAAATTCTTAGGAATTCACCTTGATAATAGACTCAAATTTCAAACACATATACAACAAATTTCCCAAAAAATTTCCAAGACTGTAGGCATACTATCGAAGATATGGTACTATGTTCCACAGTCAGCCCTCCAGGCCCTATATCACTCACTTATTTACCCCTATCTCACCTATGGAATTTGTGCATGGGGCTCAACGACAATAAACCATCTCAGACCATTAATTACCCAACAAAAGGCTGCAGTCAGAATGATAACAAATTCCCACTACAGGCAGCACACTCCACCAATATTCAAAACTCTAAACCTACTCACCATACAAAACATCCATACTTATTACTGCACCTACTACATTCATAGAACACTTAACTCTGACATAAACCCTCCCCTCAAACATC